TTCATGATATCGTTCGGCGAAACCTTCCCAATAATTCACGGTGCGGTATTAATGATAACCTTGGGGGTCCCTTAATGGTTTCCTGAGGTGAACATTCCGCAGGTCCGCGCAGATTTCTTGGGTAGGCGCTGGGATCCCCCTGTCGGCGCCACTGGCGCCGCCCCCTGCGCGCCCCGTCTCTGTGAACGCATTCAGCTGCTCATTTCTTCTGATGAGTTATATCTGCACACGGCCAGCCAGAGCCCTTGCGCATTGTTTCTTCTTTCCTTCGGCAATGCCGATGGCGTGGGGAGGAAGAGCCGGGAGAGCGAAGCAGGGGTGGGCGAAGCGCGCCACAGCGGGCGGCGACCCACGCCGAAGCCCGACTTTGGTCTGCCGCGCAGAGCGAAACGAGAGACGGCGGCAGCACGGAGTCAGCAGGACGGAGGCGGCAGACCAGGAAAGAAAAAGGCGAGCGAAAAAGGAATTGCCACGCACCAACTGACAAACCGCGCGGTGACCTCGAAGTCTCCAGAGACCTCGCCGCGCGGTCCGTCACCGCACAGGTTTGGGACCCTGGAGGTGGGGGACCCACATGCAATACACCACCCCGGTTCCCAGAGGATTGCCAAACAAATAACAATTGAGAGCGTTGCACAAGCTTTCGAATGCAATCACACCACAGCGTGAGTCGTTCCAAACTGACGGCCCTGGACAAAAAAAATGACTTCGCGCTAGCAAACGAACTTCGACATGGTAGATCCCCAAACGCACACTACTAGTACGGCACAACCTCAGGGCAATCGCGATTCCGCCATACCGCTCTCTCCCCACTCCAGACGTTCTCACAGCCCACGACAACTCGCCGCGGCCGTTGTCAGCGGGCATTGGAACGACGTGTGAATTGACGCAAAGCGCACTGGTGTATACCCCAGCACTGGTGCACACCCTGCCCTGAAAAATCAGCACGACAAGCCGAAGCAACAACCGACATGACAGGACAGGTATTAGCATACACCAGGAGGGACAGGTCAGGCCAGCCGTGGATACACCAGCGTGACGAGACAGGTCGATCGGTATGACAACAACGCCCAAAACAAACGCGCCAATGAACTCACACGTTTGGGCACATCGTCCGCCGCTGAGCTGCGACAGGGAGAACCCGATGGCAAACGCCCCAAAGCCCTCCAATTTCTTTCAGAGTGAACACGCAGGCGCGCGATCGGGCGTCCGCAAACGAAACTACCCGGTAGCATTCATAGGGCGGAATGCATAGGGCGGGATGGAGGAAGTAACATCATCATAGGAATAAGTACGTTGTACCGACACGGTAAAGGATATTAGTTTTTCCATTGGGCCACGAACAAATGTTTCGGGAAGGCCAAGCCGACGTGATGCATTGCACATTGGCCACCGATGGAGGCCCCAATCGCCAGAGGCACCCTCGGGGAACGACCCAAGTCCCAACACCGTACGGTGACCCCGAGTCCCCACCAACTCACCACACGGTGGTCCCCGCGCGGCCGGGGGGCGCCCGAACCATTCCCCCCGCCCCCCCCCTTCCCAGCCCGGCACCCCGGGAGAAGTGGGCCAAGTCGGCCGCCCCGCCGACGACGGCGGCGGCGGCGGCGGCCGCGATCTGCGCGACAGGTTGTGGACCCCGCCGTGCTGAAGCACATGGCGCCGCTGAGGCCCCCGCAGGAGGTGCAGGGGCGGCTGGTCAAGACCTGCCTGCTGGAGGCGCGCTGGGGGGCGGTGCTCCCAGGGTTAAATCGGGCCTGTCCCTCTGCAGGAGGAGTATTCAAAAATAGTCAGGGGCTCATGTTTTTAGCATTTTAGAATATGTTTGAGCATGTTTCTGGTCTTTCTATTTTCGCCCAAAACGCGCCTGTAGGGGGACATGCCCGACCTAAGCCTAATTACGGTCCGATTCGATGCGATTCGATTCGCCGGCTGGGGCCACAGTGTCGATCCGAATCGGTTCGGTTCGATTTTCTTGTATCGGCCGGGGCCTGCCCAAGCCATGCGCGGCGGCCCGGTCGCGGTTCGAAGTGGTTGGTCAAGACTTGCCTGCTGGAGGCGGCGCGCCTCGCGCCCTTCTCTCGACACGATCCAGGGCCTCTCGGCGCACCCAAAAATGATGCCGGAGAAAAACCCAATCCTAATCTTTTTCGGGCTATAGGGCTATAGGGCACCTGCAGGCACCTGGGCACCCTGGCACCCCGGCCGGCGCCGTATCTGACCTAAATATATGAATCCGTTAGGACCCCTTACAGAGGCAAGCTCTGATTGAGGAATGTCGGGCCGCCAAGGGCTGAATGTATTCAGGCGTTCTCGTGTGTTCTCGGCGGTCTTCCAGCTTTCCGGATGCTCTTCAGCAGCTGCGCATCGCCGAGAGCGTTTTGGGAGTGCCCGAATCGTCCCGAACGGCCGCCAGAGACACGACCTATGTATGGCCCCAAAAACCACCAGGCTTCGATGCGGTCGAGGTGGGCACGGAAAGAGTTGGGACGAAGACCGGCTCCGCGACTTCCGACGATGCGGTTCAGTCCTGGCGGTTTTCCTGGATTTCGGCCTCTGGGGCCCGTTGTCAGGCCCGGGGGCCGTCAAACAGAGATCCAGGAAGAAGAATTGCCCCCAGGGGCAGCAGTCGGGACAGTTGAAGCCCCGCAGTGAGCACTCACAGCATCGGGTGCCTGGGGAACGAAAACCGACAGCTGCCCCTGCCCGTTTTGAGCAGGACTCGCAGTCGGTGTAGCTGCGGACGTTGTCCGCTTGAGACGAGATGTCACCTGCCCAGCAGCGGCCGCTGCCGGTTGCTCTAGGCCTCCTACATGGGGTCGGGGCTCGGAGGATCGCGCCGCATCGCCGATGCATCGACGATGCGGCTCGATGTGGAGCCACTGTTTCCCCACGCCGACGCCGCCGACGCATCGCTGACTTCGCCGACGCATCGGCGATGCATTGGCGATGCGGCGCGATCATCCGACCCCATCTACTCCGACCCCATGAAGGAGACCTCTGGTTTTATTCAGGGGCCCAACGGTGCGGTGACCACACGGTGCGGTGGGTTGTCGGGGATTGGGGTTAAGTCGGGCTCGTCCCTCTACAGGAGGAACATTGGAAAATAGTCACACCAAAAAAGTTTGGAGACGACCTCTGTTATTTAATCGCTTCGCTCATTTCGCCGGCCCTGGAGCGCTATTTGAGACCTCTTGGGGCCGTCTTGGGGGCTTCTTGGGGGCTTCTTGGGAGCGTCTTGGGGCTCCTTGGCGGCGTATTGGGCTCCCCTGGGGCCTCTTGGGGGGCTCTTGGGGGCCCCTTGGGGCGGGAGGGGGTAGTCGTTGGCAGCCCCCCCCTCGGAGGCCACGATCCTCGTGAGGGGTGGCGAAAAATAGCCCCCCCCCTGGGGATCGCCCAGGGGTCAGCCGGGGATCGGCCGGGGTACTTTTCGTCTGGGGCCCCCCAGGGGCCGCCCCGCGCGCGCGAACTAGAAATATTGTTAAGTAGTTACCGGGATCTTAGCACGCCTCTGGCCCGTTGGGCCGGCGAATTTCTTTACCCTGTATGAGTAATTTCCGATGTCTCAAATGTTTCATCCAATATCCGCCTGGAGGGGGACACGCCCGACCTGACTCTAGTTTTGTTCAGGGGTGCCCACACGGTGCGGTGGGTTGTCGGGGACGGGGGTGGCCGCGAGGCTTTGAGGCTGGAGTCCTGCTCCGAGCGCGCCTCTGGCGGCCAGAGCCTCCGAGGCCCCAGGGCGCGCTGCCGTGGCGGACCGCGCGGCGAGGTCTCTGGGGATCCGGAGGCGCCCGCACGGTCTGTCACCGCACCGTCTTGGGACCCCCAACTCTCTATCTTGAACAGTGGGGAACCGACCACAGCCCCCACCACTATAGACTTTACCTGTCAACGTTTTGCATTCCCGGCGGATGTGCGTAAGTGTAGGCGCCCTGCAGGCGAGGCCTTTGCCAGCTGCCGCCGGGGGGCCCCGCGCGCACGGCGTCGTCCTGGGCCCGCTCGACGCGGCCGCGCCCGCGCTGGCATTCCCGGGGCCGCGCGTGCCACGGCCGCGGCTTGCAGTTTGCGGCGACGGCGTTGTCCCTCGCACGGCAGCGCCGCTGGCCCTCTCTGTCTCCTCCTCTCTCTGTCTTGTTTGTTATGTTATTTTGTTGTTTTTTTTTTTTTTTTTTTTTTTCTCTCTCTCTCTCTCTCGTTCTCTCTCTCTCTCTCTCTCTCTCTCTCTACACACACACCTACACACATACACTGGGCCTACATCCCACGACTGGGGTGCGTCTTCTGTCCAACGATGGAGCCCAGCAGGTGTCTTCGCCCATCGTTCCTGGCACCGTTGAGGCCCCGTGTGGGGCCCCCTGCGGTTCGGTGGCTGCGCTCGAAGATGCGTCCGACTGTCTTGTGGTGGATGTCCATCGCGCCGTGCGGCCATCCAGGACTCCGTCTCGTAGAGACGATGATAGTTCTGATTAGAGCGCCCCATACGGTAATGAGGCAATCGTCATTTACAGCGTTGTGGCTGTTTCGATGATGGTCACGTGCGCGATGCGTTTCCACTGCGGCGCAGTATTCTTGGTTTTCCAATGCATCCTCCCACGGTCTCCACTCTGGTGTGCGGTGCTGTCGATTTGACTCCACCGTTGCACGCTCGCTATCGCTCTCTGTCTTTATATTTTTCTCTCTCTCTCTCTCTTTCTGTCTCGTTCTCTCTCTCTCTCTCTCTTTCTCTCTCTCTCTCTCTCTCTCTCTTTCTCTTTCTCTTTCTTTTTCTCTCTCTCTCTCTCTCTCTGCAGCGCTGCACGGCGATCCCTCGCGCCGCGCCGCTCGTGGGGCGGCCGCGAGCGGCCGCCCGGTCGGGCGCGGCGTCGGGCCCACGCCGTAGCCCGACTGTTTCAGACGGGGTGGCAAGAGGGGGGGGGGGCAGTCCACAAATATATCCCGAGGCCGCCGTCTCCAGAGGTCCGTCGAGGCTTCTGGAGCTTTCCAGGCCGCCGTCCCAGACCATCGCTGCTCGAGCTTCGCGCCTCGATCGTCGAGCCTCGGTTGACGACGACGATGACGACGACGACGACGACGACGTACATCATGGTTTTTTTTTATGTTTTTTTACACACAAAAAAAAACCTACCCTGGTTTACGTGGCGTTGTGCGCTGAACCTCCTGTGGGCTGACAGGGTAAACCCTGCATATCGCGCGTGTCGCGCGGCCTGGCGTCTCTCTGGCCTTTGTGGGAATTCCCAGGAGGTTTACAGACCACGCAGTTGTAACCCAAGGCATGTTTGCATCCCTTAAGCACACTGATATGCAAAACTCTCAGCTCCTTTCGCCCCTCCTTCTTCTCGGAGGCAGGGAGGAACAGGAGGAGGAGGAGGAGGAGGAGGAGGAGGAGGAGGAGGAGGACGCTGTTTTGCCCGCAGGGTGGGGGCCACGGCGGGTGCACACACGGGGACACTCCAGAGGAGGAGCCGACGCCAGTGCCGCTGCCCGTCCTGGAGCATCCTCGTCACCACGGCCGGGCTGCGCCCGAAGTTTTGGGCGGAAGGCCCCACGCCTGTGGAGGTTTGGGGAGTAGCGCGAAGTCGGGCCTGTCCCTCCACAGGCGGAATATCCAAAGATAGTAACGCTGGGGACGATGTTTTAATTGTTTCTTGCAAACATTGTGCGTGCGTGTTCTTGCTATTTGTCATCTGTCGCCCAAAATCCACCTGTAGGAGGACATGCCCGACCTAAGAGTAGCGGCATCAGGGAAGGCAGCGCATCGACCCCCAATCGCCGCCCAAGTGTCCGCCCCGCCCAGGAGCGCGCGGGTTCGCCATCGGGGGGCCATCGCCGATCGGTCGGCGATGTATTCCCGATTCCAGCTCAATGTTCCCCCCCCTCACACTGAGCCAGTCACCCTGCCTGTCGTTCCCCCCTCGCCCCCACGGGGACACGTGCGCACGAAACGGGCGAGCGGTGACCGTTCGTGGGATGGCCTCGAGACGCTCTTGAGGCAGCTTTTGGAGCACTTTTGGGTTTTCCTTGGACTTCTCCAGGTCTTGGTGGGGGGCCCACGAGGTCTTGGGGCCGTCTTGCAGGGGTCTTGGTCCGTTGGGGAGCCATCTCGGGGCCAGCTGGGAGCTTCTGAGCCCATCCTGGCGCAAGTCTTAGGCTGCTGGGCAGCCCTGGAGGTCTCTCGGTTCTTTCGTGAACGCTCTCGTGGGCCCACCTTGGGACATTGTTGTAGCTATCTTGGGGCTGTCGCAGGGCATCTTGGGGCACTGCCGCCCCTCGCGGGCTCTCTCTCTCTCTCTCTCTCTCTCCCCCCCTCTCGCTCAGCCACCTGCCCTTTTGCCGTTTTTGTTGTGCCACGTCTATCCAGTGCTGGGCCGCGCAGTCGTTCACGGACACGGCGTCAGCCGGGCAGTGTTTCCGCAGGCCATGGGAAATTCAGACGTACACACATCCACATATCGTCACGCGCATGTGCACCCTAAGCCCCAAGCCACGCTAAACCACACACACTCACACACGACACACACACACACACAAACACACACACACACACACATTTACACACTTACACACATACACACACACACGGACGCACGCACGCACGCTCGCACGCACTCACGCACACGCTGTTTCCTCCAGCGGCTGGGTGACAGCACCACAGCGAGTATTGAGGCGGGGCATGTTTAGTTGAATTACCACCTGACGTTGCAGATGGGGGGACTGGATGAAAGCAGACGCACGCAGAAAAGCTTGAGAGCGTGACCCCCCATTCACGCACACACACATAACTACACACATGCACACGCACACACATAACTGCACACGCACGCACGCACACACACACACAGACACACACACACACACACACACACACACGCACACACATACACGCACACACACATTCACACACACACACATTCACACACACACGCACACGCACACGCACACGCACACGCACACGCACACACACACACACACACACACACGCACGCACACACACACTGATTTGGGGGTGGCGGCGGAGCGCTGACCTTGATGCTGCTTGTATTGCGCACGTCGGCGTGCCCACTGTTCGATGCCCTTCCCCGCCGCGGCGCAGGCCCACAACCGGAGGCGGTTGCACCGCTGGTGGCGATGGAGGAACCGTTCGGCTGCTTCCCTGCTCCCGAGGGGTCGGATCGCGCGCGGAACCGCGGGCCGCACCGCCCTGCCGCTGGGTCGCGGCAGTGTGGTCGCCAGGCTGCCACGAAGGACTGCAGGATGCCACAGGGCTCCCCGGGATCGATAGGGGGGGACGTACGCTCATGAGAACGGGGAAGGAGGAAGAGGAGGAGGAAGAGGAGAGGAGGAGGAGGAGGAAAGAAGGAGGGGGGAGAGGGTGCAGGAGACGGAAGGGAAGGAAGATGAAGATAGGAGGTGGTGCACAAGAAGACGCGGTGGGCGGATCACGGTTTTCGGGTCAAGACCAGGGTTCAGCACGACAGCTTGACTTCCTTCAGCATCAGGCAGCGGCGGAAGGAGGGAGGGGCGGGGGAGGAGGGGAGGGCTTATGGAACCCGCTGTGGGCGAGTGGGCGCCTGAACCCAGGGAGATGTTCCCAAATTGTGTCCCTCCTCTAGGCTTCATGTTGCCTTCAGCGTGGTGCAACGCCATCTCGCTTCCCCCTTTCGGGGTGGTGCCTCTCTGGAGTTCTGGTGGTGGACCCTCACCTCTGGGCCGCCGTTGCAAGGAATAAAAAAGGCTTCATGTTGCCTGGACGGGTGCTCCAGTGCTATGCTTGCTACATCGAGTCGCGGGTCCAAATGCAGTGCTTGGCTGAGACGTCCCCCCACAGTCTGCCGTCGAACGGGCAAGTGCAACAGCCCTTGGCGGCTCAGGGTTACAGGAGTGCTATGCCTATTATATTCAGTCGGGCCTGTCCCTCTACATGAAGAGTATTCAAAAATAGTCAAAGAAATACTCTGGGCACGACTTTTTGGGTATGTGTTGACTATTTGGGGGTATGTTGCTAGCTTGGTTTACGAAAAAATCGCCCAACACCCCCATGTTGGGGAACAGGCCCGACCTAACTGTCGCATCGAAGTGATCACGAGGCTTCCAAAGGACAGGAAGGCGCCGGGGACTCCAAGCGAGCGAACCACGCGAGATATCCGCACGCTGTGGGAGTGAACGCGCAAAAGCAGCACTCCCTGGCGACTCCTCCTTAGGGTGCCCCAATGCAATGCCTGCTACGTCGCGGATGATCATCCAGCTCGAGAGATACCCCCTGGCTGTTCCTCCTAGGGGTGCCCGAATGTTATGCCTGCTACATCGCGGTGGCCAGGAGACTCAAAAGAGATGAGTCGGGGGCACCAGCTGAATATCCCCTGGCGGCTTCTCATCGGAGAGCCCGGGTGCTAGGCCTGCCACATCGCGGTGATGATGAGGCTCTCACTAGAGAGGAGTCGGGGGCACCAGGCGAGCGAACCGCTCGAGGCATCCCAACTGCCTGGGCGCGAACCGGGAAATGGCATGCCCCCGTGGCAGTTCCTCCTTGGGATGCCAGAGTTCGGCTCTTGTAATATAGCATCGTTGTGACCATAGATGTGACTGTGAGCCTGAATGGGCCTGAGTGTGAGTGGATCTAAGTGTAAGTGGGTCTGGGTATGACTTTACACGGGTGAGAGTGGGTCTAAATGTGAGTGATCGCACGGGCGCCTGAAAGTGTGCAAGTTTATTTATGATCCCGCAGAATATGAGTGGACCCGAGTACTACTAAGATGAGTTGAGTACGAGTGTGCGAGAGAATACGTTGGTCAGGGAGGAAGGTGGAGGCGTCACACTGATAACACGAATTCCGCTTTAGGAGATGGGGAAATAGCTTTGGACAGGTCAACAGGCATACAATCACTTCGCTGAAATCAGGGCCACTTCGGGTTCGGTTCTGGCCGCTCCCTATGTCGAAGACGCCTACGGCGAACCACCGCCGCCCCCTGCCTTTTGACACGCACACGCGGCCAAACGTTGGACGAAGTCGGGCCAAGCTGTTAGACTATGTGCTTCCCCAGCCGTTTGGGAGCCCCTCGGGAGAACATTGGGGAGAGAAAGAGAAAGGAGGATGAGAGGGAGGAGAAGGAAGTAGGAGGAACACAAGCCCTCTTGAGGTCTCGTGGTTTCCTGGTGGCTTCCTGGGAGCCTTTGAGGGGCCGTCCCTCTTCGGGCGCTTTAGGGCCGCCTTGGAGGGCGGGGAGCGCTGGGCCTCCAGGGCGACAAGCCCCCGCACTTGGGGACGGCCGCCAAAAGCGCGGTCCCTTTCCCCAGGGGGTCGCCTGGCGCGCAGGTCCCCCGTTCGGGCTAGGTGTCCCTCCCTGGGTTTCCCGTCCCGGGGGTCGTGCCGGGCGGTCCGTCCTCTCCGTCGTGTCGTGCCGTTTTTCGGCTCCAGGGTCCAAACCCTTTTTGCCCGGGTCCCTCCGGCGTGCAGGGGGCGGGGGTCCTGCCCGTTCTGCATGGTCGGTTGTCTCCTGTGCAGAACGCGGCGGGGCCTCCTCCCTCCGTTTGCCAGTGGGGCCTCGGGGTCATCGCGCTGTGAGCGGTGGCGCTGCCGCGGGCGGACCGCAATGCGCGGCGCCGCGGGGCAGGAGCTGTCTTGGTGATGGCTCGTTCAGACATGCCTGAGGCTGGAGCGAACAAGAGCCGTCTTGCCCTCTTGGGCCGTCTTGTGGGCCTCTTCGGGGCCTCTTGGACCGTCTTGGGCGGTCTTGGGGGCCGTTGGGGCCGTCTTGGAGCGTCGGAGGCCCGAAGAGGCGAGAACGCGAACAGCATCGACAAGCACATGGGAAACTAATGATGTCTGAAGGCGTCTTGGGGGCCTTTTCGGGTGGTCTGGAGGGCCGTTTAGGGGCCATCTTGGCCGTCTTGGAGGCGCCTTGGGACCGTCACGGAAGCCATCGTGACAGTCTTCGAGGCGAGTTTGATTTGCACTTTGCGATTCTACCATGCGGTGGGCTCCGTAGGACGAAGTCCACTGGAACGAGTTCGAAATAACTAAGGCTCTAAATCGTTTAGCACGCCAAGCACCCGTTGTGATAAGCACAGAGGGCGGTTGATCAAAGACGCTTGCGGCGAATCACCGCCGCCCCCTGCCTATTGGAAACTCCTATGTGGCCGAACGCTGTGGCCAGAGTTCGGCCAAGCTGTCGAATCATGTGTAACCGCGTGAAAACGTTGAGGAAACGGCCAAGCTATCGGCCCAGCGGTTGTGAAAACGTTTCGGGGAACACGTGGTAGCGGAAGAAGCGGAAGAGGGATCTTTTCGGCCTTTCTCGAAGGTTCCCTCGGAGGTCTCCTGGGGGCCTCTCGTGCCGTCTTCGGCTACCTTTGGACCATTTTGGGCCACCTTTGGTAAATCTGGGGCCGTCTTGGGTGATACATCATGTGGCCTTTTGGGGATCCTTGGGGGCCATCTTACACGTGTTGGAAGCATCTTGGAGGGCATTCTCGCCATCTTGGAGCGGAAAGACTGGCGACCTGAGAAGTTTCCGGGTCGTAATGGGGTGCCGGCGCGATCGGTTTGGACCCATTGGGGCTCTTTCATACGGACCCAATTTGAAATGTCAGGTCAAGTTCCCCCCTCTTGGGTTCTTCTTTGTGCCATGTTGCAGGCCTCCTAGGCCGTATTTGGGCCCTCTTGGGCCGTGTTGGGGCGATCGTTCGGGCCGCTCGGGCCGCCTTGGAACGTCGGTGGCTCCAAAAAGGAAGCAGCGCCAAGATCCGTCGAACACCAGTGGACAGTCAATGATTCTGGCCTCCTTGGGCCCTCCTTGGGGGTCCTCTTGGAGCCCTCTGGACGCGTTTCGGGGGCCTCCTGGACCATCCTCGGGGGAAAAGCGCGGCATGTCAGCGAGTGCCCCTTGCGGGCCTCTCGTGGGATGGCCACCTTGGGCCATGTTGTGGGCCTATTGGAGCCCTCTTCTTGGCCTGCTTGTTAGTCCTTCTTGCTTCTTCTTGCTTCTCGGCGCAGTCACGCGAGGAGAAGGTCCGGGAGCGCGCGGCACTTGGGGGCTGCGGGACCCTTGAATTCCTCCTCCTGCTCCTCCTCCTGTTCCTCCTCCTCTTCTTCCTCTTCCTCTCCCTCCTCCTCTCCCTCCCCCTCCCTCCTCCTCCTCCTCCTCCCTCCTCCTCCTCCTCCTCCTCCTCCTCCTCCTCCTCCTCCTCCTCCTCCTCCTCCTCCTGAAGGACACTTCAGGGATCTGGCGACACTCCACTCAGTGCCTAACAGACCAGTGGCGGACTCGGGTCGGGGAACCGATGCCTGGGAAAGCTCCATCGTTCCTTGTTCAGTGTTCCTTATGGTAGCAGGACGAATCTACGAAGCGCCGCAAGGTCGTTGTGTCGAGCTTTACCCTGCCTCCTCGCCATCGCTGGGGAATCGGGACCCACGAAACTGCCCCCATTTTCGAAGGATGCTGGGGTGTCCAGCGGAGTGATGTCATACGCGGACCTGAATTACATCTCGCCATCCCTGCGGGGCTGCGATCTGCGAAACCGTTTCCATTTTCGAGGTATGCTGGGGGTCTAGCTGAGTGGTGTCCCACGCGGACCTAAATTAGACCTCGCCATCTCTGTGGGGCTGCGATCTGTGAAACGGTCGCCAATCTCGAGGGCTCCTGGTGGGTCCAGCGGAGTGACGTTACACGCGCGGATGTTAAATAGATCTCGCCGTTTATGGGAGGTTCGATCAGCGAAACTATCGCCATTTTCGATAGCTGCCGGAGGGCTCAGCGGGGAGACGTCATAAGTACGCTGACCTAAATTAGACCCCGCCATCCCTGGTCGGCTGCGATCTGCGAAGCTATCGCCACTTTCGAGGGCTGCTGGGATGTCCAGCGGAATCACGTCATACGCGGACCTAAATTAGACCTCTCCGTCCTTGTAGGGCTGCGTTCTGCGAAATTGTCGCGACTTTCAAGGGTTGCTGGGGGTCCAGCAGGGGGACGTTATACGTCATCACTGGGGGGCTGCGATCTGCGAAACTGTCGCCACTTTCAAGGGCTGCTGGGGGTCCCGAGGAGCGGTGCCCCCGCGGATTTAAACTAGACTTTGCCATCTCTGGGGAGCTGCGATCTGCGAGATTGTCGCCACTTTCGAGGGCTGCTGGGGGTCAGCGGGGACTCGACCTCGCCATCCTTGGTGGGTTGCGATCTGCAAAGCTGTCGCCACTTCCGAAGGCTGCTAGGAGGTCCAGCGGAGTGGCATCATACGCGAACCTACATGTGATCTCGTCATCCTTGGGGTGCTGCGATCTGCGGAAATGTCGTCAAGTTCAAGAGCTGCTGGGGGGTCCAGCGGAGCGACGACGCACGCAGACTCAGACTAGACCTCACCATCCCTTGGGTGCTGCGATCTGCGAAACCGTTATCTCTTCAGAGTGCCCTCGAAGTGTTTCACAGCTTGCCTCAGGTTTTCCGATGTTCTCGATAGGAAATCGAAGTTGAACTTCTGGAAAAAAGGGGCCTCGTTCCTTATTTAGGGTTCCTTAGGTCAACGCCCCGACTGTATGGGGTTCGTTTCCCGCGGGCCGCCCGAAGGCCCGGCGGCGCGCCTGCGGGCGCTGAGCTCCCGCACTGCAGGGTGCCGAAGGGAAACGGGGAGCCGGGCGGGCGAGTTCGGCCTCGCCCGTGTCCGGCACGAGTTGCGAGCAGCTGATCCCCAGGGAGCGCCAGAGCGACACAGCGCGGGCCGCGCTGCTTGCCCAGCGCGCCACTGGCTGGGCATCGCTCGGACGTGTGCATGTTTCTCTCGGCGAGGGCCATCGAGGAGCATCCTTGATCATTTTGCGAACAAGCCACGCACGAAACCGAAAAAACACAGGGAATGGACGTCCGAGCGATGGCGAGCTGGAAACTGAGCGACGCCCTCCTTTCTCATCGTGCCTCTCTGGCTGTGGCTCTCATCCCACCTCCACCGTATCGTTGCTGCCGTCGCGTGAACTGTTCGGCCCCCTCTTCCGTCGTTTTCTCCCCCCTCGTTCCCAACCCCATGTCTTGGTATCGCTCGGACGTGTGCACTTTTTCTCGGCGGGGAGTATTAAGGAGCGTCCTGGATCATCCTGCGAAGAGACCACGCACGAAACCGACAAAACAGAGAATGGCGTCCGAGCGATGGCCGGATGTCCTATTCGAGCCTGGGGCCTCGGTCCTCGTCCTTGTGTTGCCGTCCTGAGAGTCGCGCATCGCGCGCGCTTCGCACGGCTCGCGCAACCAGCGGCACGCCCTGCGTCGTCATCGGCCGTACTGTTCTGGAGCAATTCCTCTCGTCGCTCCCTGCATACAGTCAAGACGCTGAAATAAGGAACAGTTCAGGTTCGGAAGGGGCTCGATGTTCCTCAGGTTCCTCCAGTGCTGTTCCTCTTGCCCTCCTGGGGCACGGAGGCGTTTACAGGGCCAAGAAGGACTTCGTTCCTTATGTAGCGTTCCTTGTTTCAGCGGCCCGACTGTACGGGGCGGGTACGTCGCAGGGTGATCAGTCGTTGCGCCCCTTGGCCAGGGCGTGCCTGGCTGTTTTGGGGGCGGGGCTGAGCAATTCTCATGGGGGGTCTCTTGGGTGGTCTTGGCCACATCCATCGTCCGTTGAAAGTTGGTATGTTTGGATTCCCAGATTCCCATCTACTTCAAGCGCCTTCCTACTTCAACGACCGAGTGGCTTCTAGGGGCGCGCGGAAACCCAATCTACATTCACCGCCTGACCTACCTCTTCCGACCGAGGGGTATTTCGGCCCCTCCAGAGCCGTTTTGGGGCATCCTTCGGCCGCACTGGGGCGCGACCTCTTGGGGACGTGCTGTCTTAGGCACGGGTGATCGCACGGACATCATGGAGGCCTGCCCCCCGGGCCCCGCGTGGGGCCGCCCAGAGGCGCCCCGGGAGCGCCGTGGAAGGTGCCGAGGGCTTGTCGGGATCGGGGGCGCGGGGATGGCTAGGGGGGGGGGATATCATGGCGTGGGCCAATGATACTTCCTCAGATTTCATGGCGCCCCTTCGTCTTTCAATACGTCCCTGGGTCCCCCCCTTGGCCGCGCACATGCCGCCAGCCATGATTTGCGCCCCCCCCTCTTTGACGCCCCCCTCTTGGCCGCCCCCGACGGGATGTGTTGACGCGTCTCAGAACCTTCTCGGACCGTTTTGGAGCGATCTGGGGCACTCTTGGCCCGTCTGGCGTCGTCCGCCGGCACCGCAGACACCATGGGGGGCCCTCCTCGGGCGCCAGGGGCACCACGGGGTAGGCGACTTGTGGGCATCCAGACGTTTCCAGGGACCTCCGGAAAATTCTGAGTACATCCGCCGACTTCGGGGAGGAGGATCCGGACAAAGAGCAAGACGAGGACACGAGGCGCTGCGTAGAGCCATCAATTCGGATATTGGGATGAACCGATTGGTGTTGGCGATCGGTGGCGGAGTTTGCGGTTGTCCCGTCCTGTGGCAATTGAATTGTGTTCCGCGTCGGTGATGTTTTTGCCCGCCGACGGGTTCTGAAATTTGTGGGCTTCGGATTCGAAAGCATCTCGCTCTCTCTCTCTCTCTCTTTTTCTCTCTTTCTCGCAGGGTTATTGCGCCTCGCAGTGATCCGCAAGTCATGGAGCAATCAACATCACGCTCCTGTTTGTCATCATCACCATCGTCATCACCACCATGATGATTGTCACCCTCTGCCATGGAAGAATCACACGGGTGCGATTGGATTACACATCTCATCCTTTTATCCGGCTGCCTGCGGCAGGCTCAGCAGCGTACCAGCCCAGAAATCAAATGTGGAGTTTTTTCGGGGAGCGCACAGGCTGGGGAGAACCGTAACATGTGACGCGCCGCTGCGCGTCGAGTCGGGGTGTCTTTCCTCGTGTTGGTCGTCGTCGTCCCCCTCCCTTCCTTTTCTCCCCTCATCTTCTCTGAGTGCATCTCGGGGGCCTCTTAGGGATTCATTGATCAGGAGAGGAAAAAACACACACACAATCAATCGGCGATCCCCAGAGAATATAGGAAAATACGGAAAGCGGGGGGGAAGACGCAAATAACATAGAAATATGGAAGACAGGGGGAATCTTGGGAGTTGTGTGTATTTGTGTATCTGTGTCCCTGGGCCCCTTTCATCTTGGGGGTTCACTGAGCAGTCCAGGAGCGATCCTGGGCAGTCTGGCGCCCTCGGCGCCCGTCCCGGGGACTTCGTGCGGTCCCCCCCCCGGGGGGGCATCGTGGAGCTCCGAAGGGGGCATCCTGGGGGTCTGCGGGGCTCTTTTTGGGACCTCCCTGTTTGAAACCTATCCCTGTCTGTTGTTCTCTCTCTCTCTCTCTCTCTCGTTCCCTCTGTTCTTCTTGTCTAGTTCGCTTGCGCGTTGTCCCACCGCCATTCATTGTCACTCATAGCGGCGCCCTGGCGCCCACCTGCTGTGCCCCCGCGGCACCTCGATTGCAGGCCGATGTCCGATGTCTGATGTCCCTTGGTCGTCTTGTGGCTGTATTGGAGGCCTCTCGGGCCATCAGTATTCTGGGCCGTCTTGGGGGCCTCTTGAGGCCTTATTGGAAGCCTCCTGGGTCGACGGAAGCCCAGAAAGGCGAGAACACGAATGTTCAAGCACCTGCGGACAGAAATAATGATGGTGTTGGTTTGTTTGGGCTATCCCGGAGGTCTTCATGGAGCTCTCTTGATCCGCCTTTCGGGCCTCCTGGGCCGTGTTGAAGCCGTCTTCGCTCCATCTTGGGCCTCATCGAAGGCATGTTGGGCCATCTTGATTCAATATTGCACGTGACGAGAAGCGGGGGTGGCCTTGGACGACTTACAGAAACCCTACTAGACAGCACTTGGCAGTCTACCACGCCTCAATGCGGAGGCGGACATCGTCGCGACCTTCATCGCAATCGGCATCGCCATATCCGTCTTCATCCGTGGCCATGCCGGTTCGGGCCCCGGACAAAATCACGTTCTTTGAGGCGTCTGTTCGCGACCGCTTGGCATGCAATCGGGGGTGTGAGCCGCCGAGGCCATGAGCATTGGTGACATGCGCACGCTTTCCTCGGGCCACACCGATCTTCACGTCCGCATTGCTGTTGGCGAGGCTGCCGATGAAGGGCGCACTCTCTTCGCGCAGCAGGGCGTCTCTGCTGGCCAGGTCATCCTGCGAGAGAAACCCGCGATTGTTGCAGCATCCAGAGACGAGTTGAGCGAACGCATTGCCGCGGCCCTTGCGGAGAACGGCGATTGTCTGGCTCCTGCGGTCTCTGGCAACTCCGAGGCTTGCGAGGGAAGCCGTGCTTCCGAGGTTGTTTCATTGTACAGCTTCGATTTTTTGGATGGTGGCCATGTGGCCATTTTCCGCATCATTGGTCTTCTGAACCACGCTTGCGCTGGATCGGAGGAGGCGAATTGTTGTCTTTCTGTGCCCTTCGACGCTGGCACGGTACGGGAAAATCAATCCGTTGCATTGATGGCTGTGCGTCCCATCTTGGCTGGAGAGGCATTACGAATGTCTTATATATGTCCTTTCGCGCCTTTAGCTCGGTTGAGGGAGCTTGAGTCTGCTCACGGGTTTCGATGTAAATGTTCGTGTTGTCGCAAAGGGCCCCCATGCCTCATGGTGCCTTCTTGTGCTGGCTGTGGAACGTGCGAGGCTACCTTGAGACGGTGTGGTGGTTGTAAGGCAGTGTTCTATTGTTCGGAGACCTGCCAGAGAACGCATCGTGCTGAGCATCGACCAGCTTGCGTACGAAAAACGTCTACTGGAGCAGAAACGCCAATTGAGCAAGAGCAGCGTTCCTTTTTGGAAGTTGCCGAAGCTGAGTTCGATAGAGCGATGGACGCCAGTGATACAGCGTTGGAGGTGGCATCAGCCGCATTGAGGGATCGGAAACGTCTCGTCGGGGAGTCGGATTTGGAAAGCAGCTTGCATCTGGCCAGGAAATTTCTTAGGTGTTACTCGTCCACTGCCTCCTCGCCAATACTTGGCAAGCATTGTTTGCGCTTAGCCCGAGGCCATCCTTTCGTGTACTACGTTCAGGGCAACGCAGTGAAACAAGTCCTGACACGTTTGGCAATGCGAATGCGATTGCGCGGCTCGGAACCGAGATTCGGGTGTGGGGGCTTGGCCAGGCAGGCTCGTGATTGGTTGCTTGATTGTATTGCCAGTGTATCGGCGGTATTGCCCCGGTTCCACATTGAATTATTGAGTCTTCTCAGGGATATCGGCGATCTGAGGCAGTTGTCAGTAGACCTTTTGAGTCTTGCTGCCGACCTGGCTGTATGGGGGACAGATGATGAGGGCAGAATCAGTGAGGACGGCTTGGCGGATGTGGCCCATTGGGCTGTGAAGATTTTGGCAGATTATAAAGATGTCCTGGCAGCGTATGGCGAACGTTTGGCGGACGTAGCAGGTGCTGGCGAACTTGACCCAGAAGATAGCGATGTCCTTGTAGATAGTGACTCTCCAAAGGGTGCGCAATGCTTGCAAAATGGTATTGATGCATCCGTACTGGAAGATTTCCAACGGGACTTGCAGATGTTTAATGACAAGTTCGGGGCAAGCGTCAGATGGTGTGGTGGCCGTGTGGATGGCCTTGCTGATTTGTCAAGGGAACCGTTCGAAGAGTTGAAGCGCCTCTGCAGTTTCTATACTGGTCGTTTGCCCGAAGGCCATGGTGATGGTGTCGACACAGCGGACGGTTCCGATAAGAATGGTTTCGATGATGCGGTCGAGGGCAATGCAGATGAAGAGCCCCTTCGTTTTCAGCAAGGGGACCGTGTGATAAGCAATTTGGGCTTGTATTGGTCATCTGGAAAGATTATCGATGTTGACGTTGTTGATCCAAGCGACCTTGATGGACCAAGGCTTCCATATCTCATCAAGCTTGATCCCGAGGCAGGCTTCAAAGAGCCGATGTCTGTAGCTGTTGACGACGACAGCACTGTGCGACGGGAGGTCTGCTTCCACGCGGACACGGAGGTGCAGTTTACAAAGGCATCAGCGCAGCTCGTGGACTCGAGACCGTCGAATGTTAAGTTGCGTTTTGAGGTTGGCACGCGTGTGGGTTGCCGCATTCGCGACACCGAAGATGCTGTCTCCGTTTGGGGGCGCGGCCAGATTGTGGAGGATTGGCCGTTGCTGCCACCCCCGCATCAGCTGCCCTATGGCCGGAGAACTGCGCGTGTCGTGCCGTATTTGGTGAAGCTTGATTCGGGACAATTTGTTTATGCACATCGTGACGATCACACGTTGATACGTTTGGAGGAATACATTCCTCAATCCATGGGGAGAGGCATCGCAGCCCGTTTCGAGAGTCGCAGGGAAGCCGACGGTTCCATAGTTCGTCTTGATCATTATACGATGCGGGGAAAGAAGCTGGAGGGCGAAGACGCAGATGATGATGGCGGTGACTGAGCTTCAGCGTGCCTTTGTGCTCCTCGCAGTGCACGTTTTGCGCAGATGTTCCGCCCATTGATAAACTTGTGCCGGTGCGATGGCGTAAGAGGTAGAGGAGGAGGAGACCAAGGAAAAGGGTGAACCGGGAGGGAGCAAGTCGCAGGAGGGAGGAAGAGGGATGTGGAGTCAGGGCTGGACCTGAACGTTAGGGAGGTACAGGAAAACAGGTAGTGGAAAACGAAAAACAAAACCAGCACAAAACGAAACACATCGTTTAGGTCCAGCCCTGGAGGGAGGAGGACCGCCGAGCACACGGCGGCGCGCGCCGCGCGAAAGCTGGAAGCACACCCCGGTGGGTCCTTGCCGCACGCCTCTCGCGCGCCGGATCGAATGCCAAGCAGAGTGGACGATGCCGTGGAAGGTGGGGCAGAACCCAGACCCCCTCGAGCGATGAAAAAATCACGACGGGGAGTTTTTCACTGTTTTCGGCTCTGGGGGCCCTCGCCGGCCCTCGGGGCCGTCAAAAAACTACTCAGGACGAAAACCCGGTCCCAGGGAAGAGGTCCAGACTGCTGAGGGTGAGCGGGTGGACAAGGTTCGTTTCGATTCCTCTGATTCGATTCGGTTCGATTTCGATGGCTTCCGGCATTCGGTTCGACTTCGGATTCCGATTCGGATTCCGATTCGGATTCCGATTCCTCAATGGAGGCCTTTTAGCCTGTCGATTTCTGCCGATTCGACTTCTCCCGATTTGGCTGCCGATGTTCGCCGATCCGATTGATTTCGATCACCGATCCGACTTGTCGATTCCATGCTGAGCTCTCCTGGGTCTTGGGTGGAGGAGGAGGAGTCGGAGGAGCAGACATGTGGTGGCATCTGGCCCAACCCGCTGCCGTGCCCAGGTCGTGAGCCAGAGGCCTCCAGGAAGCACTTTGGGGTCTCTTGGAAGACCGCGTTGGGTGCCACGTGGAGGCCTCTTGGAAGGCCTCGTAGGGCTTCCGAGGTCTCTGCGGAGCCTCTTTGGTGCCTCTTGCTTTGGGATCTCTTGCACCAGTCGCGGGATCCATGTGGCGGAGGAGCTCCTCTCGGGCCCCCGTTCGATGTCCTTGTTTTGGGCTTTTCTGTGGCTATTGGGAGCTCAGATGCCGCGTCTTGGCCCGAGTTTGGGAGCTTCGTTGGCCGTCTTGCGCGAGTTTGCGACCGAATGGGCGCGAAGGTTAGAGTACATCAAAAACATTGCAACGGTAATTGAGTTTCTGGCCATCGCAGTTTGCGGTTTGGGCGCCACAATTTCTTTGAATCTCCTCAAGCCGCTTCCGAACCCCAATATCAAATAGAGATGCGCCGAGTAGAGGGTACAGCAGAGCATGGCAACATTGCAATCGAAGATGCGTGGAGCAAAAACGGGCTGCCATGCAAACGGAATCCATTCCACAAGAGTCGATAGTCATCGTGGGCGGCGCTTTGGCCATACACACCCTCCGAATCTCCTCAGACCTTGCCCGAATTCTAAAGCTCAAAGAACAATTGTTCCGATCCGGCAAGAGAGCAGCAACAACAGCTGCAGTGGAACAACGTTGCAGTTCAAAGCAAACCGTGTTTCTGGTCATCGTAGTCGTTGGCGCTTTGGGCGCCACACCCTCCCTGAGCCTCCTTAAACCTCTCCCGATTCGCACGCGAAGCCCAGAATGCTAACCTTACAGTCGGGGCCCTGAAGAAGGAACCCTTTTCGTTGGTGAGGGGCTCGGTGTTCCTTGATAGTTGTACAGTTTGCCTTGGGTGGTCCTTTCGTTTTCCATGGGAAGTCAGAACTGAACTTATTGGAACAAGGGGCCTTGCACCATATTTAGGGTTCCTTAGGTCAAGGCCCCGACTGTAAGCTCGAACGCAGCCCAAGGCTGAAGCAATGCATGCCCTGAAGTACTCAAACGCCTGATGCGTTGTGTAACCCTCCCCCCTCCCTGAATATCCTCAAACACACTTCCCCTGCCTACTCGCAAAGCTATGAGTCCTGAGCTCAAGCTCAAAAAAGAGTCCGCAGTTGCAGCCACACCCTGCATCTACAGGTATTTGTGTGGTTGAGACTTGGCGTCCTGCCTTGTGCTACATGACTAAGAAGTAGGTGGGGATTCGAATGGACGTGAGGTCATTCCCGTCGCTGCTGAGCAGCATAGTGGCGAATGTGTTCATCCCGAGCCGTGTTCTGACGGTCACGGGTGGCTCAGGCGCGACTCCCAGGACGAGGAAAATCGTGAAGTTGTTTGACGCGGTTGTTTTGAACCGCCATAGTTTTGAGGAGCTTTCCCTCCCCCCCTCCCGCGGGGCTCCATCTTCGAGGTTGCCGGGGACCACAGCCCTCCAAATTTCCGTGTTTGTTTCGGGGGGTGAGTTTGGCGGTAAGATTGGGACCCGTTTTGGTTTAGCCCGGAAAAAAAAAACAAAAAAGAAGAAGAAGAAACAACACGCCTCGCGAAGGCCCTTCGCCATATAATACACACACACGCACACACACACACACACACACACACGCACACACACACACACACACACGCACACACACACACACGCACACGCACACGCACACGCACACGCACACGCACACGCACACGCACACGCACACACACACACATACACACACAAACACACACACACACACGACACGCGCCCTGGAGAGCCCCCCTCGTGGGCCAGGTACCAGGCCAGGCCATGAGGGCGTACCCGTCTTGCGTTGTGAGTAGGTATGTCTGTTTCCCAGGGTACAAATTACTTCAGGCGCCTTACAATTTCAAGAATCGAATGGCGTTCCCTTTTCCCTCCTCTTCAGGGGTCGGGCGGACACCCAATCTACCGTTACTGCTGTTCTACTCAGTAGTTCTTCCCACTTTTTCCGAACGATAAGCACACGCTGATCCAGGGCCCAGCATGTGCATGACCAGGGCTGGTACAGGTGTTTTCGATGGTTGGCGCTCTTCGAGTTCCCAGGCATCGATGCGCAGGCTATCCGACGACGTGATTGTTTCAGTCCGCGGACCCAGCGATCCCGACCTCTTCGAGGGGCAGCGTTTCTCCCCGATTAGCTCCTGAGGTCCTCCAGGGCCCGAAAAGCAGGCCCCTGGATGCTAAGATACAGAAAGCAGGTAGGAATTAAAAAAACACTCATTCGGAGATGTGCTCTCGGAACCAGGCGAGCACCGTGGAGCCCCCTCTTCGCCACGGAGGGCGCCTGGTGGTTCCAAGATCCTCGATCTTCGGCGGCGGCGGCGACAACCTTCCCGACAACGTCCTGCTCTTCGACACCGAAGACTTCGACGACAACAGTGTCGACGACGTCGCCGACGACCTCTTGGGCCGTCTTGAACGGTTGTCGGGCCTTATTGCTCTTGGAAGAGCCGTGCCAAGCAGAAAAGCCGAACGTGCGAAAAACATATCCGCAACCAAAAAACAAACAGATGGAGCTTGACAGCTCCAGTGCAGACGACGACGGCGCGGTTTGTTCTACTGAGCGAATTCGTCATACAGATGGGGAGGACTGGGAAATGCTCGCCCGCGACGACGAGCTGTGGAAGAGTACGGAAGCCGCGTACGCTCACAGATCCAACCGCGGCGCCCCAGCGCACCCGCCGTTCCCTACACGGGACGCCCTTTAGGGGATGTCGGCGCCCCCCCCGTTCCTCCTCCAGCGCCCATCGCCCTGAGAACCTCGAGGGTAACGAGTCGAGCTCCGACTGAGACCTCGCGCGCGGCGTATGCTCTTGGTGGATGGCGTCCGTGTCATGGCCAGCTGGTGGATGGCGCCACCACCGACTGAGCCCCCCCCGCCGGCTGATGTTATGATGTTCGAACCTGTTTTAGCCATGACCTGATCACCAGAAATGATTTCGCGCACCGAGGAAGTGCCGAAACTGGGGGGTGGTCACGTGTCGGGCCCTGGGAGGAGATACTCGTTCGACACCGTTTCGATACTGTTCGGGGTGCTCGAAATGACTTGTGGGATGTGATCCTCAAATTCGATGGGAGCAACGTAAGGCTGGTGGAGAGACACTGCCTCAGCGCAGTAGCTCAAGCGCGCCCCGCAGAGGAGCCCCCTCTTCGCCCCAGAGGCCGCCTGGTGCCTCTTCGATCCTCGTCGGCGACGGCGACGGCGACGGCCTTCTCGACGGCCCTCCGACGCCGAAGACTTCCACGACGACGGCGTCGACGACGACGGCGACGGCGCCCCTTGGGTCGGGTGTTGCTAGAAGTGCCCCTGGCCCAAGGTGCCCCCAGCCTTCCGATCCATTCTGGAGCCCCTGGGGCCCTCTGGGGCTCGTGAGGGGTGCCCTGGAGGCCTCCTGGGCCACCCCGAGAATCCTGGGGGCACCGTGGGCCAGGGGCACTTCTAGCAACACCCGAATTGGGGGGAGCGCGCCCCGCAGAGGAGCCCCCTCTTCGCCCTGGAGGGCGCCTGGTGGCTCCGCGGCCTGCCCCTGCCCGGCGGCGCCACGCCGAGCGCCGGGCGCCGCGGCCGTCGCCGCCGCCGCCGCCGCAGCCACCGTCGACGACGTCGACGACGTCGACGTCGAGGTCGTCGAGGACCTGCGGCCGTTGAGGAAGCTGATGCGTTCAGGGTGCTATGGGTTCCCCCCTTCAGCCCAGATCATGCGCGGGTTTTCAGGATTGGGTTTCTTGCGAAGATTCCTTGCGGCCGCGCCCGCACTGTAATGCAACTTTGATCGCCGCTTCGTTTGTTATCTTCGCTCGCCCGAGTTCTCTCATGGTGTTTGGCCTCTGGGGGCTGGTTTCCGGCCCCGGGACGGTCAGCAACGGACCCTGGATGAACAGTTACCTCCAGGAAAGTCCCCTCGGACGGTTCTTTTGATACGATTTGCCAACATTGCACCATTTTTTCATGGGGTGTAGGATTAAGTCGGGCACGTCCCTGCACAGGAGGAATACTCAAAATGGTAGAAAATAATTATCCCGGCAAAGCAACCTAACAGCGATGTGTAGGAGCATATCTGGAAGCATTCCCCTTCAGATTCAGATGAGAATCCAGTTGTAGAATTCTGCTGTTCTCGCAGTCGTAGTCGCATTCGCGATGACAGTCGCAGTGGCAACGGCAGTCGCAGTCACAGCCTCAGCCTCAGCCTGCCTCAGCCTCAGCCTCAGCCTGCCTCAGCCTCAGCCTGCCTCAGCCTCAGCCTCAGCCTGCTTCAGCCTCAGCCTCAGTCTGCCTTCAGCCTCGGCCTCAGCCTCAGCCTGCCTCAGCCTCAGCCTGCATCAGCCTCAGCCTCAGCCTCAGCCTGCCTCAGCATCAGCCTGCCTCAGCCTCAGCCTCAGCCTCAGCCTCAGCCTCAGCCTGCTTCAGCCTCAGCCTCAGTCTGCCTTCAGCCTCGGCCTCAGCCTCAGCCTGCCTCAGCCTCAGCCTGCCTCAGCCTCAGCATCAGCCTGCCTCAGCATTCAAAATGTGGCCCGGGAATGGAGTTCTGGGAACTCGAAGAACACGAAGTGGCCTACAGTTGGCTCCGGGCATTCAAAATCATGCCCAGGAATGGAGTTCTGGGAACTCGAAGAGCACGAAGTGGCCTACAGTTGGCTCCGGGCATTCAAAATGTGGCCCGGGAATGGAGTTCTGGGAACTCGAAGAGCACGAAGTGGCCTACAGTTGGCTCCGGGCATTCAAAATGTGGCCCGGGAATGGAGTTCTGGGAACTCGAAGACCACGAAGTGGCCTACAGTTGGCTCCGGGCATCCAAAATGTGGCCCGGGAATGGAGTTCTGGGAAGTCGAAGAGCACGAAGTGGCCTACAGTTGGCTCCGGGCATCCAAAATGTACGCCGGGAATGGAGTTCTAGCAGCGCCAAGAGCGATTTTGCGAGGATGTCCCAAGCGATTTGGGCTTCGACGGCAGCCGCGCCGGGTCCCGCCCCGGGTCCCGCCCCGACCCCCCTGAGGAGTCATGATGCTCTCTTTTGACCCCACTAGAAACCTATCAGTCTTCGCTGTCAGGTAATCAGGGGAGAATGTTTTTACTATTCTTGGCAATTTGGGAGTATGTTTTGACTATTTGACATTTTTCATCCGAAACCCCCTTGCAGGAGGACGTGCCCGACCTAAGTGTAGGACGAAAGGGGTGGATAGGGAAAGCGGGGTGTACGGAAATTGCTGAGTGCAACTTGCCTGGGCTCTGCCGCCGGGGCGCTTTTCTTGATACACTGGCGCCGGGAGGCGCCAGAGAGAGGTTAACGCGAACCGATTCGTTCATCCCCTTGTTACTATTTTTGAGTCGGGCATGTCCCTCTGCAGGAGGGAAATTCAAGAATCATAAAAAATAGTATGGGGACGAGGTGTATATTATCTTTTGCTCACTATGTTTGAGAAGATGTCTTTGTTGCTTGCTTCCGAAATCCCCATGTAGGAGGACATGCCCGACCTGATACTAATTCCCCTCTTTCTTTATGGGAGGAGGGGGAGGAGGAGAAGGAGGAGGATATCGCCGAGTTCGAGGAGGCAGTCGAGGAGTCCTTCGTCGTCGTCGAGGAGGCTGTCGGCGTTGGCATCCTCGGGGGCTTCGTCGTCGTCGGCACAGTCGCCGAGGAGGAGGCAAAAGAAGAGGAGGAGGAGGAGAAGGAGTAGAAGGGTTCCTCCATCCCCGTCGCCCACCCCGATCCCCCTTCGCCTCTCCATGCCTCTACCTTCCCCCGGCTCCCCCCATCCCTCCTCGATTCCTCCGTGTTCTTGCCGCGGCCTCCTGCTCCTCCTCGTGCTCCTCCTGCTCCTCTTCTCCCTCCTCCTCCTCCTCCTCCTCCTCCTCCTTCCGCCCACTCATTATTCTCCCTCTTCTTGGAGCATGAGAAGGGGGGGCAGGAAGGACGAGGAGGGAGGTACTTTCTCTGGGACGCGAAAAGCGAAGGATCCCCCGTCTCACGCACTATCTTGCTACCCCCACCCAATTTCGCCCCTCCTGCCTCCTACTGCCTCCTCCCTCCCTCCTCCCCCTCCTCCACAGGTCCCAGACGGCCTCCGGGGGTCTCTGGAGCCGGGCTGTCTTCTGGAGGTCCAAGCGATTCAGAAACGCGACAAACAGCGGTGATTGCTCTTCTCCGCCTTCGACGCATTCGCCCACCCTCCACCCCTCCCCCTCCCTCCCGCCTCCCTCTCCTCGCCCTCCATCCCGCTCTCGTCGAGGCCGGCTCCGCTGGAGCCCCGCGACGTGTACCACGTCTGCGTGCCCCGGGGCGGGGGCGGGGCCGGGCAGAGCACGGCGCAGTGTGGAGGAGGGAGGGAGGGGAGGAAGGATGACGAGGAGGCGGGAGAGGAGGACGAGGAGGAGGAGGAGGAGGAGGAGGAGGAGGAGGAGCAGGACCAGGACCAGGACCAGGACCAGGACCAGGACCAGGAGCAGGAGCAGGAGCAGGAGCAGGAGCAGGAGGCGGCGGGAGAGGGGGAGGAGGAAGTGAGGGAGGGAGGGAGGAGAGAGGAGGAGGGCAAGCTAGGTGCGCTCGCGCCATCCAACATCCCCTCCCTCTCTCCGTCTCCCTCCCATCCCACGTTGCGCTCATACTTTCCCTATCCGTGGACGCATTTCATAGCCGACCTGGATTGCAACAAAGGCCTCACCGTGTCATACGCAATCGGAAAAGGGGAGTGGCGTACAGAGGAGGAGGAGGAGGAGGAGGAGGAGGAGGAGGAGGAGGAGGAGGAGGGAGTGGCGGGTGAGTAGGAGGATGAGCAGGAGAATGAGGAGGAGGAGGATAATGAGGAGGAGGGGGATGAGGAGGGAGGAGGGCGAGGACGAACAGCAGCAGCAGCAGCAACAGCGGGAATTGGCGTGGAAGGAGTGGGAGGAGCAGGAGGATCAGGGGAAGGTGGAGGAGGGGAAGTGAGGGGGACGACGAACGATGATGACGGACTCGGGTCCAGGAAAAGTGGCCCGCGCTGGGGCGACAGCGCCACTCCGAACGGCAGGAGCACGGCGCCGATCCGGAAGTGAGGCCCAGGTTGCAGCAGGAGCACCACTTTGAGACACCGAAAACAACCGGATCGCAAAACAAAAAAAACATGGAAACACAATGCTCGGAATCTTGCGTGTAGAAAAACAGTACGCGGAGTGGGCGGATCACCTTCCGCACAGAGCCAGGGGAGAGAGGAGAACAGTGCGCATAATGCGTACTCGGGCAGGAGGAGGAGGAAGAAGAGGAGGGGAGGGGAGAGGGGGAAGGAAGGAGGGAGGAGGATGAGGAGGAGGATTGATAAAATAGGCGGGAGGAGGAGGAGGAGGAGGAGGAGGAGGAAGCACCCTTGGGAACGGCTGAACGGGACAGCTCCAAGCTAGCGGGAAACGAAGTAGTGTAGAAAGGGGAAGAGGGGTTATCTACGTAAGCGTCCGCAACATCGCTTAGGCGGGCATCGCCGCCTCGGAACGCGGAGTCAGTTCCGAAAGCCTCGATGACCAAAGTGTTCCAGAACCTCCAGGCTTCCCAAGCGGGGCAGGAGTGTATCAGAAGGTTGCGCCGCATCGCCGACGCGTCGGTGATGCGGACCGATTTGGGGTCCGATCTTCTCCACCCCGCCGTCGCCGATGCGTCGCCGAGGTGTCGGCGGCGCGGCGCGATCCTCTGACCCCAGTTGGCCTGGCCCCCTTTTCGGGAGGCCCGCCGAACGCCGATCCTGGATCGTCGACTGGTCCTCGACGAGGACGTCGACGACGACAGCGACGACGGCGGCGGCGGCGGCGGCGGTGGCGGCCGCGGCGGCGGCGGCGGCGGTGGCGTTGACGGCGGCGGCAGGCATACGAGGACGATGACGATGACGAGAACGACGCGGACGAGGAGGCCCTCGGCGACGAGGGCGATGCCGCCGGCGGCGGTGCTGGCCGAACGGCCAGGTGCAGCCGTGCTTCGATCGGAAGCTGGAGGCCGCCCGCCCCGGCTTCGAGCTCGACGGCCACCCGGACGTGCGCGAGGCGGGCGGTCGAGGGCGCGTTCATTTCGGCACGGACGAGATGGGTACGGAAGGAATGATCGGGGGTGGACAGACCTCCTACCATGACACGTCGATTAGCGAATCGGCCGTTTTCGGTTCGCGAGAGGGCGTCGCGGCCGTCACTTCTGCGGGTCCAGGTCCGTCGGTTTCGGTCCCAGGCGTTTTCATTAAAGGGAGGTTCACTCAAGGGAGGACTGTCCACCGCCGAAATGAGTACCATGCCCAACAGCAGTTCCTGGTCATCTTGAACAGGACTCGTTGTCCGCGCCGCCGCGGCCTGTGTCCATTAGAGACAGGAGGCAGCCTGCCCAACAGCGGCCGCTGTTGATTTGGGACAGCATTTCTTGTTGGGCACTGTATCAATTTTTCCGTACCCATTTCGGGCGTCCAAATCAGTATTCCGAGTTTCTTCATAAGCGTCGGGGGAGCGTCACCCCCGCCGACAGCCCCACATCGGCCCCCGTCGCGGGCAGCCACCGCGCGCCGAAGGCGTACCGACCCCCGTCGCGGCGCGACGACGAGGCGAGGTTGACCCCCTGTCGGGGGGGTACCCCCCCCACGATTACTAAGAAACCCAGAGTAGTGTTGCGCGTTCTGGTCGTTGATGGCAGCTTGCTCTGAGTCTGAAAATGTCTGAGTGGCCTTCGGTCCTGACTCGTCGGCGCCGCTTGGCGCAGCCCTAACTCTGGTGCAGCCCTGACACTGCACCAACACTGACCCAAGTGCCCCGCCGCAAAAAGCTAAAGAGGAATGCAATAAAGAACAGAAAACAGCGTCCGTTACCACATGGAGAAACTAAGAACAACTTGGCAGACCTGTCTCTGTCGGTACTGTTATGGTGCAGACGTTCCGCACTTATCGTAGCAGCCTTTATACAAGGGTTTTAACGCGGGGGACCTGAAGGTGCCTCCGCAATTAGGATGCTTTTGGAACAGGGAATCGACGCTGCAATTGACGGTGGAGACGCACAAGAAATCATCAGGACATCCATCAAACATGCTTCGTTGTAATCATACAATCAAAGAGTCGCAAGGGTTCCACCAGCACGTCGCCAGCTTGCAGAGGAACATCATGAACGCCAGGACTCGGAAAGCTCTTCGCTGTTCGGACCCCCCCGAGGTGCAGGCAACAAATCTCAATCGCATCCGTCGGCTGGCCGCAGCTTGGAAACTCAAAGACCTAAGGTGTTCCCCTCAGGCCTCGGGACCGCGGAGGGTCGGGCGGTCGCGGGCCCCGCCCTCATGGCCAGCGTGCTCGCCCAGCATTGGGGCGGCGTCTTTGCGGCTGAGGACGGCGCCCAGATCAGCCCAGATGCCGCTGAATTGTTCCTCGCCCAGGTGGAGCCGCTGGACGAGCAAGGAGAACATCATGTTTCTGATTCACACCAGCGCGTGGACTGGGTGGCCAACCACGAACAGGTGCGCAGTCTCCTCGCCGGAAGGAAAGATACTGCCCCTGGTCCTGTCGGCGCGGCCCATTCCGTTTGGAGGAGCGCCCCCGATTTGGCTTGCCAGTTGCCGTGCGACGGTTTCTTCAGCTTGCTGAACGAGCATCGAGTAAGTAAGGAGTTTCATTACCGCCGCGCCGCCTTCCCGCCGAAGGGCGACCCTGGAAGTTCGTTCCCCGTGCCAAACTCGGGCGCCGTCGCTCTCAAAATCGGACAGAGCAAGACCTACCCGTCGCTGCTTGCTCATCCGCTGAACACCCTCGATGTTCGACAACATTCTCCAAATGGGCACGGCCCTTCTCTCTTGGTCGCACACTCTTGGCATCAAGGAAGTTGGCGGCTGCCACTCTGATATTAAGAACGCGTCCCCGTCCGTCTTCCACCAGTGGATCTTTGCCGCGCTTAGGAGGATGAGTGTGCCAGGGTATATCGCCAGGGCCATTGTCAGGCTTTTCTCGGGGTCTGGACATACATGGGCGTTGGGAACAGGTTTCCTTCGGGCTTCTGGGCTCGTAGAGGGGTGAAACAGGGGCGCCCGCATTCTGCAGACCCCGTCGCATCGATCCGGAACCCCACCCTGAAGGCAACCCCATCCAGACGAGTTACCGTGATATGACGGTCTGTGTTTTTGCGGTCGATTTTGGTTTGGTGGCGCGCAATTTGTTCGCGGTGCCCCCGATCATCGTTTCCGAGCTTCAGCGCGCAGCCAAGGCAATAGGATTGGCCCTGAATTATTCCAAGTGTCACACCATTTTCTTCGCATCTTCGACGAGGCGGAGATCCGTCGATTGTTCGCAGAGCATGGCCTGGGCGGCGCTGCGCATCAGATCCCCCAGAACGGCATGTGCTTGGGTGTCTACCTAGGATTGGGAGGCAGTCGAAAGTCGCGGTCGCCCCCCCTGGTCAAACTCTCCGATGGATCTGAACCGTTAAAAGTATGGGGTTCAGTTATATTCATTACGTTCTTGCCTGGAATCGCTGCGCGTTGCCTGTCATCGGCCACGTGGCCCAATTATTTGAACCCTCGAAAGAGGCCAGGTCAACCTCCCCTTCTGCTCTTGATCTCCTGGGTGCTAAATCAAAATCTTGGGCGCAGTATCGCGTGAAGAGGTTGCTCGTTGCCTCCAGCGATTTAGACTCGTAAGCTCTCGTCTTCCCCACTTTTTTCTGGCTTCGTCCAGTGCCCTCCTCGCATGCTGTGCCATCGAGCTTGCCAGTGCTGCTTTCCACCAATGTCGTTCGACAGGCAGGCGGTCTCCCAGGCACCTCCGCGAGGACATCGGAGCCCGCGCCAGAGCGTTCGCTTACCAGGACTGCTGCGGACCCCCCCCTCTGTTAGTCGGTTGGCGTTCCTCCTCCTCCTCCTGCTCCTACTCCTCCTCCTCCTCCTCCTCCTCTTTTCTCATTATGGGCCCAAGTGCTCTGCGCCTCCGATCTCTGAGCCTAAGTGTAGCGTGGTGCGCTTTCGTGCTAACGCGGGCCTCCAAAGTCCGAGATGGGCTATACGGCCCCGAACGTTGCCCGAGAGCGCATTGAAGTTACCAGCGAGATATTGTCGTGGTTAGTTACTCACCCATTAGAGGTAAGCCTTCAAAGCAGGAGACAACAGCTGACCAGGTCTTGACTTGTCTTACCTCCTTCCTCTTTCGTGTTCCTCCTCTTCCCCCCCACCCATCATCCCTCCTGCCCCTCATCCTCATCACAGGGAGGCCAGCCTGCGTCCTGAAGCATTTAAAGGAGTCTTTGGGGCACCTTGTCGCCACGGCTGGCGCGTTTCGGAATACTGGTTCGGCGAGCGTGGACACTTTTGTCCATGAGAAGCAGTGTTGCCGTTGTTTCTGATTATAGTGCGGGGTTGGCCTCAGCTCGTAGCAATTAAGCTTGCTAGTCCCTGCAAGCCCCTAACAAGATGAGCAGATACATTGTAAACCGATAGTCGGGCCTTCGGTGGAGACCCATCCCGGCCAGTGTTCGGGCTGCGCCGCCGCGTGCCTTCGAGCCTTGCAGCGGACCCCATGATGGGCCCGCAAACCAACTCTAGAGCCGAGTTTGGTTTCGGGCCGTCGTCGGTCGTCGTCGCAGGTGTTCTGGTAGTTGCTGGTCATTCTGGGAAGGTCCTCGTCGGCATGGTTATGCGGAGCTCGAAGACATGGCCAGGACAGGCCAGGGCCCAGTATGCGTTCGGAGGCCAGGTGTTTAGAAATATGAAAAGTTTATGAACGTGTTGGGGTGTCATGGTCGAGACGGGTAGCACACCGTACACCCTGGCGGACCCGCGCGGACACCCCAACGGCCTCACGGGACACCACACTGGGAAGTTGCAGTTTGGCAACCCATCCCGCCCCGGAAAAAGCGGGACGCCACGGCGGGATATTGCGGGAGAGTTGTTTCTTGATTGTTTTTTTCACGGGACACCCCACGGGACATTACCCAGTTGAAGAGGAACCAGGATTCTCACCCAGCATCGCCCCGATTCGATCGGCGGGTAGATCGAGCACGCGCGCGTTGTTCATTATTTCCCCAGAACATGCAAAACGAACCATGGCATCATAAGAAAGAGGTGGATACCGTCCTCGCCACCACAGAGTTGTTGGAGCTGTTCGCCAGCAGGAGCGACCTTTGCTTCGGCCCCTCCTCTCGCCGCTGCCGCCCGCTTCCTCGTCATCCAGAGAGTCACCCTTCAGCTTGATCCGCCAGGTAATTTCTCAAGCCGAACTTGAATTTCCTTGCCAAGTGTGATGATTGACCATCCTCCTCCACGGCCCTCCCCCCTTCCGTATGGTCGACATGGATGGCCTAGATGAGATCGTTATGTTGACCAGCCGTCGTTGAGAGATGAGAAAGGGAGAGAGGAAAAGGGAGGGCAAGGAGAAGCACGAGCTCTTGAAAGGCTAGACAGGCGCCGCTGGCACCCGCCAGGCCGATGCCTGCCCTTCGCGTGTCTATGCTCATTATGAGGGCGCCAGCCTAAAACCTTCCTAAGGCCACCCAGAGCAGCTCAAATAGGCCCGCCAAAGCAGCACAACAGAGTAAACAAGGTCATATGTTTCGTGCGTTGTTGTTCGAATTTCGCATAGTAGCCTTGTCGTTCTAGCGCCCATGATTGACCAATAGCCTTCCAGTATCGCGGCAGAGTGGGCTGAGACCGTTCAAGAGGGGCCAGAAGACGCCCCACAAGAGCTTTTGTAGGGCGATGGCGCCCGATCGCAACCAGATGGAACATATTCGAATTGTTTGACACCGATCGCAACCAGGTGTGATCGGTCCCTGTTGGCAGTGGAAAACGGGCGCCGTTCAACACATCGTATCGCAGCGGACGGGCTGCCACCATAGCTTCAGAATAGAGTGAACTGCCTTAAGTGAGTGCTCTGGAGTCTGGTCTCGGAAGTAACGATTGCGATCTGCTCGGCGCACAGCGATTTCGAGCTAATATCTGCAAGTCTAGTGAATTGCGACGAGTTCTACATATTAAAGACATACAGACCGGATTATGAAGTCAGTAATACAATTGTTTATAGTTATTGGAACCATGGCAACGTAGAGTTCATAATTGGAAAAGAAATTAATTGTGGGACGGTATCGTTCGTGCCTCATGGACCGAACGATTATGATCGCGCGTGTAAGGTTGGTGATTGGATGTCTGGCGAATCCTACTGGACAGTTATGTTGGTAGCGAAGTGTGTCATATCTGACGAATCCAGCATACGTATTGAAACAATGGTTGACTAATACAAGTTTGATTCTTCATTGGCAACGGTTGGAAACGCAATGTAGCTATCCAGTTTCAGTGTAGCTAATGACAAATAGGTGTTGACAACGCGACGCTTGTTAGGATGGCTGATGCCTGCTCAACCGAATTTGAATCGCGAAGTGGTCCGAGAGGTTATCGGGAATGTGTCGTAAATGTTTGTCTGAGTTCCAACATTGTTTTGATTATTAAGGCAGTTGCTAAGTAGTTGAATTGTCGATAGCTCTCGTGATTATTCTCGTTTTAGTCGATCACTGGAACCCTGCATATGGTTGCCTGCTGTCGCTTTGATCTGACGGAGTCTATACGGCGATTGGAATTGTGGCTAATTATGATGTGTGCTAGACAATAAAGAAAAGTACTGGGCTTTGTGCGTAATGGTTGGGCGTTGGTAGTTGTCGCTATATCTGGCGATTAGTTGAGAGCGCATTGATTATCGAAGCTTTGGCGAAGCCAAGTTCAAACTTGCAGCTGCAACGAATCAGCTCGACTGTACGCAACTATGTGGTTTCTCTGCAAGATCAGCGATTCAATGGATCGATACAGCATTATTGTAAGCGCGTAAGTGGACATTACATTTGCAGGTCAGTCGTTGCATTGTGCTAAGTGTTGAATGCGTGGCTCCGTCCCAATAGCTGCGTGAAGCCTGGTCAACTGTTGAGAACTTTGATTAAACAGCTGAACTTTATATTCATATCTCTATGTGTATAGATATATGTGTGTAAATCTACAATAACATACATATAACCTATGCCAGGGGCGCGCGGCCGGGGCCGGCCCACTCACGGATCCCCCCAATCCCTTTTACACAACGATTTGTCCGACCCTTTTCCGGGGCCTTTTGGGCCTTCCTAACGCCGAAGAATGATTTCAGCCGGCCCTGGAGGCCCCGAAGACGCCCCCAGAAGGCTCCAAGATGGTCCCTGAGAGCGCCCCAGAGGCCATAATTGCCCCATCCCCTTCTTGGAAAAAGGTGCAGTTGTAGCACATTCGCTCTAGGGGGTCACAACGTCTACGACGGCCCAAGAGGCCCCCCAGGATCACGCCAAGATGACGGCCCAAGAGGCCCCCAAGGGGGCCCCAGGACGGCCCGAGTCAGCTCCAAGACGGTCCAATAGGCGCCCAACACGGCCCAATCCAAGAGGGGGAATTCCAGTTAACATGTCGAGCCCTCCGCCACAGGTGTGGCCCCGAGGTCGCCAGCAGGCCTCCAAGAGGCCTCTCAGCCCCAAAAGGCTCCGAGAAGCTTCAAAGTTTGCACCACGAGGCGCCCAAGAAGCATGCCAAGAGACCCACGACTACAGGTATCCAAGACGCCTCCGGCCCAAATCTCAGGCACGGTGGCGGTATGGGCCGAAGGCCATAGACGAGCAAGCAATGGGCTTGGCGACGGACCTATCCCTGCGCAGTCACGTGCAGCGCAGGGCGCGGCCCTCTGTTGATAGTGATACAGCGCGCCGCGGGACGGATTTGGTAGGGGGCTGCTGCGGAGCAAGCGTGCACAGGCGCGCTGAGCTCCGTGTGGGGAAGGATCCGTGTGAAGTGGGTGCCCAATAATCCGGATGTCCTCGCGCGAACCCGCCCGTTGAGGCCGCAAGCGAAGTTCTTTTGTGGGGCATGATCCTTGCGAGGCATGCGCCACAATGGGCGGGGGGACGCTACGCGAAGTTGCCCAAAGGTGCCATAGGTGGAACTCTTTCAGGGGCACGAGTTCGTGTGAATGGTGTGCCGACAAGGGGGGAGGGACGATTTGCGAGCCTTGTCTTTGGGGCTGTGGGTGGCGCTCCCTGTGGGGCATGATCCGCGTGAGGGGTTTGCGGCAATGGGCAGGGGGGGCGCGTTATGCTAGCCTTGTTTTTGGCCGTTTGTGGAGCTCCCTCTAGGGCACAATCAGTCTGAGAGGTGTGCCGAACTAAGCGGGGGGGTGGAATGCGATCCTTGTCTCTGGGGGCGTAGGTGGAACCCCTTGCGGGCCACGATCCTTGTGAGAGACGTGCCGAAGTGAGTGGGGCGACGCTTGTCGAAGCTTCCCGCTGGTGCCGTAAATCAGGATGCCTGTGGGGCAGCACGATCTGCGTGAGTGGTGTGCCGCTCTGCGATGGGGCCGTAGGCGGAGCTCCTTGTGGAGCACGATCTGCGTGAGAGGTTTGCCGAGAGGTGGGGGGCCGTAGGTGGCATTCCTTGAGGGCACGATCCGTGTGAAGGATGTGCCATGATAGGCGGGGAGACGCTATTTTGATATGTGTGCCCACGATAACACATGTGTTTCCATGTGGTGATCGTGGTGGGATCGTCTGCTCAACCATCCGTTGATTGGCATGAAGTTGGTCTTGTCTTGGCTAGAGCATACATGCGCGCGAAACGCGCGCGTTGTTCTCGAGTGTGCATATAAACACACATATATATATATATATATATATATATATATATATATGAAAGAGCGTGTTCTACCGCTGCTGGCGGAAAACCGGGGGGGGTCACTACCGGTTCGAACCCCTCCCCCCCCCCTCCGGAAAACCGGGGGGGGTCACTACCGGTTCGAACCCCTCCCCCCCCCCCCCAGCTCATCATGAAAAGGGGGGGGGGTCACTACCGGTTCGAACCCCCCCCCCCTCGAAAACCGAGTGGGGGTGCGGACAGTGGTGGGGACGGTGTTGGTGGGGACAGTGGTGAGGGGACAGCGGGACAGTGGTGGGGACAGTGGGACAGTGGGACAGTGGTGGGGACGGTAGTGGTGGGGACAGTGGTGGGGACAATGGTGGGAACAGGGGGGACAGTGGACAGTGGTGGGAACGGTGGTGGTGGGGACAGTGGTGTGGGGACAGTGGGAATGAGGTGGAAACACTGGGACAGTGGAGGGTACAATGGTGGTGGGGACACTGGTAAAGGCGGTGGCGAGGACGGCGGTGGGACAATGGGACAGAGGTACAGTGGGGACAGTGGTGGGGACAGTGGGGACAGTGGTGGAAACAGTGGGACAGCTCAGTGGGACAGCGGAGGAGTCAGTGGGACAGTGGGGACAGTGGGGATAGGCAGTAGTTGGGTCCGTGGAGACAGTGGGGAGAGTGGAACCGTGGTGGGAACAGTTGTGGAAACAGTGGGGACAGTGCGACAGTGGTGGGGGCACTGGTGGGGACAATAGGGACGGTGGTGGAACCAGTGGGGACAGTGGTGGTGAGGACAGTGGTGCTGGGAACAACAGTGGGGGGTGTGATGCGAGCGGTGGTAGGGACCGGGAGTCGTTTGCTGGCGGTGCGTGGGGGGGGGGGGGTCGAACCGGTAGTGACCCCCTGGTTTTCGAGGGGGGGGGGGGGTTCAACCGGTAGTGACCCCCCCCGGTTTTCCGGATCCGGAGGGGGGGGGGGGAGGGGTTCGAACCGGTAGTGACCCCCCCCGGTTTTCGAGGAGGAGGGGGGGGGGGGAGGGGTTAGGGGAGGGAGGGGTTCCAGCAGGGGGGGGGGATTTTCGGAGGGGGGGGGGAACCCCGGGTTCCGGAGGAAAAGGTTTGCAATTTTCCACAGTAAAGCGGCGGTGGATCACGCTCTCTCTCTCTCTCTCTCTCATATATATATACATATATATATATATATATATATCACCAGAGGTGTGGTGCATTTGTTTTTTGCTGCTATTTCCAGCTCATGTTCTGAAGTTCTGATCAGTCCACAGCAACCATGTTGGAGGGTGAAAGGAGGGGTCTGCAACAGGGGGTCTGCAATGGGGGGCAGAATGGCCCATGTATGCTCAGTATCTCGCTCAGGTATGTGATCGGGTACGATGTGGCATCAACTTGTTGGCGGCCATGGAGGGCCAGTCGTTCGTGCCCGCGCGTTGCCCGCGCGGGCAAGCGCGCGGTCCATCCAT